CCGGAAGATCTGGATGGAGAGCTGATGAGCCCAAGGATCATTTGGAAGCCATCTGTGTTTGACCTCCATCCGATCTTTGGCATACTTGCCTTTACTCCAGACATTCAGTTTTTCTCTCCTTTGCAGAGGACAGGCCTTCCCACGCCTGTGACAGGAGACTGTCTCTCCTTCTCTGACTCTTTATGGACAGAGTTGGTTTGTACTGTCTCAGCATTATCTACCCCGCCTTCACCCCGTGGTCCAAGACAAAACAGGCGACTGACAGACTGTAATATAGTTTAAATCCTGATCCCCTGGAGCTCATTCCTCCATTTCCTCCTTCCCTTTCTTCTTGGTTTCTATGCTTTCTTTATGCCAGGCCTATGCACTGAGGGCTTGTGATGCACCTAACACTGGGCTTGGTGCTGGGGCAGATCACACCATGAGTAACTGAGTGAAGATGCAGCTTTGTGTATCTGTGCCTGCCTGCCTGCCTTATTCATTCATCTAACAGTTGTAATTTGAGATAGTGTTTGCAGGACTTTGTGTGGGGATGAGGGAGGCACCCAGCTCCTTCTCTAGCAGAGGACAGAAAGCACAGACCCTTGGGAAGAGGCACAATGGGTATCGCAAAAGCCAGAGGGGAGTTGAAGACAAACTGCTGGAAGGCATTGAGGTTGAAAAGATACATTAAAGTCAGATTCTGGGAGTCCTTTAATGCTTGTCTAAGGATTTGAGCCTGTTTCTGTGCTTAATGGGAAGTCATTAAAGATTTTTGAGATGTAGAAGCCTATGGTAAGAGTTGAACTTCAGGGAAGTGCAATGCCATGGGAGGATTCAGAGGTGGGATGGTGAGTTCGGCTTATCACCTGGGAACTGAGGAAGGAGAGCTATCCTAGAGTGATTTGTCACATGAGTCTTGGAGCTGGAGTCCCCATGGTGTGCATAGTCTTGGGCTGATTGCCAGTAACTCTGAGCTCTCACAGTTGTGGGTGTGGGAGGTACTGAGCGGTTGTGCCATCCTGTTGGCAGTGGGCATCAAGATTGTAGGACCAGGATGTTGGGATGTAAGGCCTGCCAGAAGGCAGGGTGTCTGCAGGACTCAGGAGACCGTATCACACAAGACAAATTCACTTGGTCACACAAGAGCCAGGAAACTCTTCTTTTGGCCAAGTCCACTCTGACAAATGAATCTTTTCTTGCCACCAAATCGATAGTCACTGAACTAAAGAATTGTTGGAGATAATTTTTAACTCAGTGGAGCCTATTTCCTATAAATCATATTTATTTATACATCCATTCATTCACAAATATCGGTTAAGCATGTGCTGTGGCATCATGATATAGCACATTGATGGTGGGGGTGGGAGTGTGCCTGTCCTTTCTCCCATGAAATAATGGTGATGGTAGATGGCAGGACATTCTTTCCCTTTTTTCCTTTTCTTTTTTTAAAATAAATAATGCTTTTGTTTGGCCAAATAAAATATCGACAATCTTCTATTAATACCCCACCTCCCTCCCTAGTCCATGATTCTCTGGATAGAAATCATTGCTTTGTGACAGAGGCTGCACATAGTTTTTATCCTGTTCAAATGTTTATTATGGACTTAAAAAGGCAATGATGATATTCCTGTCAAGTTTCTGCATGACAGGAATAGGAAAGGGTTCTAATACACAGGTATCCAATATGCTGGATCACGGTCCAGAGCTTTCTGAAAAAAAATGGCCAGTGCCCTCAGGAGATGGATCAGGGAAGCAGCTGACAACACAGAAGAAGGTGATGCTGAAAGTAGAGGCACCATAGTTCAGACCACAGCAGGACCAGGGGTCTGGAGCTGGCCAGTGCACTCTGAAGAGCAACACCGACAGACGTGGGGAGTCCAGGAAAGAGTGGCCAGTATGGGGAAGCCATTCTTTTGGAATAGAAACAAATGAGAGACAGGTGTTTCATTAAAAAAAAAAAAAGTGATGGCTTGAGGCAAAAGGTAAAGAGTAGCCTAAGAGTGCTTATAAAAAGAACAACAACAACAAAAACCCACAAAGTTATACTGTTGTATTATAGAGACTTCTGAATATTTTGTAAATCCCACCAGAAGGCAGAACTAGGGATAGTGGATGGAGACTACAAGAAACCCAGCTGGTCTTACTATCAGAAAAAAAGAAAAGAAAAGAAAAAAGAAAAAAAATCCCAACTATTGGCATTTGCCCCACATGGAATATATCGCTGTTTTGTCTACTTCCTCATTCAGGGTATAGCTTCTCAATAAACAGTCCTCATGCTGGAGCATTTGGTGAATCTCCAAACCGGTAGCCACTAACATGCCTGGCTCCTCATGGGGGACAGGCAGACGTGTTGAATTTAATTAAATGATTTGATGCTCAGGTGTTGATTGGTGTCCAGCATGGCAAGTTCTCATAAAATTCTTTTGGGGCTCACTCAGTTTTGTTGATCCACAAGTAGGGATTGCCCAGCACACTAAAATCTTAGCTTTTATTCCCTGTGGTACAGGACTTCTTGAGGCTAACACAGCACTCTGCATCAGTTTCTCCATATGTACAAAAGAAACTCCCAGGAGTCCATAGCCTAAATGGTGAATAATTGGAGATATACAAAGCATGATTGACTTGACAACGATTGATTGACAATGACTGAGGCTCAACAGAGTCTGGTAGAAACAGCAGGGAGGAAGGACATAGCTGCTGTGGGGTCAGATACGGTTCACAGAGGAAGTGGTATTTGTGCTGAATTTGCTAGTGGGGAGAGGAGTAGAGGTTTGAGGCAGGAGGTGAGACAGGAGAGATGGGCAGACCCAACCTGGAAGTATTAGAAACAAGATGGTTTGGGGAAGCTAAAGACATGATTTGACATGAGGTGAGCACAAACTTTGAGAGGAGAGGGTTAAAGTGACAAAAGATAAAGCTATACAAATAGATAAAGGGTCATAATGGTCTTCTGGGGCAGACTAAGGGGCTAGTGATATCCTGTGGACAACTGAGCTTCTTCTCAGGGTGGACTATTCTGTGGACCATGGAGCCTTCTAATGATGTGAGTTTCCCATCTTTAACCCACATCTACTTAAGTAATCTCCATATCCAAAGGAACTGCCATATAATGACTCAGATTTCTGGTGTGTTGTCTGCCATCAGAGAGATAGGACATTGGTAATCATGTTAGAAAAAGATCTTTATTTTCCCCTTCAAAATAAATGCTTTCTCTCCTCTCTTTTCTGCCCGCTTCTCTCATTTTGTTGGCAGTAAGAATCAGGCTTTGACAAATGATCAGGTGAGCTGCCGTCAGACTAACAACAAAGGCAGTTTTAAAAAATTATTATTTTATATTTAAAAATAAGCTTGGCTTCTACAAGTGTTCCTATTTTCTAGATTGATGACACTTCAGGTGGGCCTCCATTGTGAAGAGTAAACACTCCAAATTGCTCCTTCTCCTTGTAGGCTTCTTAAAGCAGAGACTGTTGGCTTGGAGAATGGTGTTTTGATAAATACACGTTTTAAAGCAAAGTTCTCTTCACCTCATACCCAACAGCATGTATTAAAACTTCACTGAAAATTGACATCAGAAAGTAGGAAGATTGTCCTAGGGCCATGGACATAAAAGGCTTAAGGACTCCAGATAGTTTTAATAAGATAATTAGAAGCCACAGCCTGAGTTGAGGATTAGACTTTGCTCTTTTTTTTTTTTTTTTTCAGTAGAAAGCACAAGAGAAATAATGTTTTTTAAAGACATCAGAGCAAAAAGAGATGGGAGGGGGAAATGGAGGAGGAGGAGGAAGAGGAGGGATGCCAAGCAGAAAATTTGTAACCATTTGCATGATAAACACTTCCAGGCTGCTTGTCCTTACCATAAACACTGGAGTAGAGGGCTGGCTGGTCTGAAAGGAGGTTGTTGGGAATCTGGATAAAGCAAAAGGGAAAATGAGTCCCTCAGCCAGGTCACCCCCAGCCATGCCTAAGCCCTGCCAGGAGCAGGGCTTCTAACACTTTTCCTAAGAAAATGACGTTGCAGATAAGGTCCTTTATCTATCACTCTTGTCCCAGGTGGTCTGGATGCTTGCCACATCACTCCTGGGACCCTACTGTCTCCTGGAAAAACAATCCTGCCTGCCAGCAGCCTCTTGGACTAAGGTGGTCCCACGTGTGGTAACAGGGTCCCATTCACTTTCTCAAGCATCACCCACTGGCTTTCCTGTCCTAGTCTCCTGTCCCTTTTCTTCCCTTCTCATCTCTTCCTTCCAGTGGTGACGCTAAATAATTCCAAATAAATATGATGACCCTGCGAAACAAACAGCTATGGAGTGAAATTACTATGGTTAAGAGTACTAGTTAGTCAACAATGAGCACTACTTTTAGGACTTCCCAGCATACCATACACATGGTACTCAAGGCTATAAAGCAGCATCTCCTGTTAACCTCGTACGAAACCTGCGAGGAAGCAAGTTCTTATACCCAAGATAGTTCATGGCTGAGAAACAGAAAGACTGGTTACCATGTGTGAGGTCACACAGCTAGTGCCCGGCAGACAGGTGTTTGGCCCCATGCATGTGGTCAGTCTCTAGAACACTGACAGTAAGCGGCTGCCCATCCACTCTCCTCATTGTTCACTTATCCGTGTGAGCATGAAACCCAAGATGCCTCTTTGGTATTTTTCTGACTTCAGCAATTCTGACAAGTCTGATTTTCTGAATTTAATTTCCATGACTCTTGATGAAAAGGATCAAAGAGTGGCCTTCCTGACCTTGCCCAAACCAACAAAACTCCCCAGGTCTCCAGCAACAGTGAACATGGAATTTGGAAACAGCTTCGGGGCTGTGCCTACCTTCCCCAGAAGCCACTGACAGGCTCTGGATAAACACTCTGAGCCTCAGTTTTCTCATGGAGATAATGTCTTCTTCATGGAGCTGTGATGAGGGCTAAACGAAATCCTGTATCTAAAAGACCGAATTCAACACCTGTCACAAAGATGTGCCCAGAAAATACAAGTCCCTGCCCTCACTCCCTCTCCTCCTCCGTAATCCCAGGCTTGTGCTGGGTGGTGCTGGGGACAGCAGCAGCCTGGTGTCACTGCTTCATGTGGAACTTTCTTGGTGGCACAGCCAGAGAGAGGGACAGGCGGAATCTCCCCTGCCTAGAGCCCGTACTGCCAGCAGCAGGGTGAACTGGGTGATCCTGCTGTTGAGGTGCCACCTTAGGGTGGAGCAGGACCTGTTTTCAGTTCGTCCATTTAGTCACCTTCCAGCCCCAGCTTTTGTGGGGGTGTTGAGAGTTACAGACAATGATACATGAGAAGTATTCAGTATGATGCCCAACAGAGAGGAAATGGTTAATGCACGTTAGTTCTTTTCTCCCTTTTATTTCCTTTCATGTTCAAATTCAGGCTTCTGCAAGGGATTGTGCTCTCTGGCCTGAAGGATATGGAAAATGAACAAAACGAGCTCTGACTGTCATCGGATCCCGGGACCCCGTCCAGGTGAAAGATGCACATCGCCCTGAGGTGAGAGCTGCAGAAGAAGGGGCATGAAGAATGAGCCATCTCCCTCCTCAGCACTGGGTCAGGGAGGCAGAAAATCACAATCACCAGGAGCCGTTCTTCATTTTCTGCAATGAAATTTGGGAGGATCATCTTCAATCAGTGTCATTGCGGGAAGAGAAGGAGCCACTTTATATGTTAACTCTGATTTCCCACAAAAAGAAAACCTTGATGAGGCCATCCCTTGGCATCTGCCATCGGCCCTTCATACCTGCCCCACCTGAGCCACCCATCACCTTCTCCCCGTCGTGCACAAAGCACAGTCCATCCACTGGGCTGTCATTCTCTGTCAACCTCATCTCCATTTTGATTCTTGGGGGTGCTCCTTTTCTGACACCCTCTGTCAGTGGGTGGGGCTCCTGAGGTCTCTTGTTTCCCTTTCCTACCACACATATGCCATCTAAGGGGCTCTGTAACACCCCACACACATGGGTCACCACGGTTGGCCTCGTTCCTGGGTCATGATGCTCCCTACATCTTTTATTTCCTTTTTGCCTCACTTTTAGGGCTTGAGAAATTACAAATTTGGACTCTAGGCTATGATTCCATCATGGCGCCTTGATAAAGTGCCTTGAGGTGCTCGACCTGAGACCCTGTCAGTTTTATTCAAGTCATTAGAACGTCTCTTCCAGAGCTTTTCTAGCGGGATGACCCCATGTTTTACCCCAGTCCATAGGTGAAGCCTGAGTACAATCTAAAACATTCTGTAAGGATGAACCATCCCTCATCCTCTCCATTGCTGCCATCCTGGTATAAGCCGATTTCATGGGTCACCTGCATTGCTGTAATAACCACTTGCCTGGTCTGTCTGCCCATATCTTGCTTACCCTTCCCATGCACCTCCAGAGTCTATTCTCAGAGCGGCAGCAACAGAGGGCTAACTAAACATAAGTGAGAGCTGCTCAAAGCCCACTGATGGCTCCCTCCCCTTGGGAGGAGAAAGCTTTTGGCTCTCTAGCCCCCACTCCACTTCACGCCAGGCTGCCCACCCTCTGACCTCGCCTCCTACCCTCCTACTCCGCCCCTTGGTTCCTCCTGGCTGTTTCCAGCATTTGAGGCAGACCTCTACTTCAGAGGAATGCTCTTCTCCCAGAAGTCCTCGCAAGTTTTATTTTTTTTCCTTTTCTTCACTTCCTTTATTTGTTTCCCCGCAAAAAAAAACCAAAAACCAAAACAACACCTTTTCATTGAGGTCTTCAGTAAACACTCTTTTAAATTGCAACCCTTACTTCCTGCATGCTGGTATCTATCATTCTTATTCCCTTTCTGGCTTTATTGTTTTCTTCACAAGGCTTATCATTTTCTAACACACGATATATTTTACCTATGTTTTGTCTGTCTCCTCCCAATCAATTTTAAGCTCCATGAGGATGTGAGTGTTTTCTGTACCCCAGCACCTAGAATACTTTCTGGTGCAGAGTGGGTCCTCAGTAAATGCGTGTGGAATAAATTCATTCTAGTAATGCTAGCCAAGACCAGGACCTGGTCATCTCTCCATCCATCCGCTTGCAGTTTGATTGCTCGTCACAATGCACATGGCCCTTGACTGGCCCCCTTGGGTACCCATAGCAGGACAATAATAAAGGCATAATTCCTTTCTTTGGGAAATAAATCTATTCCAACTTTTTTTCAGTCATTATTTATACCCTAACTCCAACTAGATTTTTCATTACCATGTGTCACTGACTTTGAGCAACTCTTTCGAGTGCTGATGACCTTGGACACACCTGTTCCCCATTTAAAGGCCAGGATGGAGATGAAGGATGGCCCTGTTATTATTACAACTTGTCAAGAAACCTCACTGGTTTGATCAATCCAGACAACCTTCGTTCAGAGGGAAGAGACAAATCAGTCATACCAGTTATTTGACAAGGTGTCAAAGACACAATGGTTTTTGGCTGAAATGAAATATCCTATCAGGTGGGTTGGTTTTGTTTAGAAACATGACTTCCCTCTAAGACTCTATAAAGTCTACACATATATCCCGTTATTCACATCCTTAGACAATAAGCCCAAACTTGCCTTGTTTACTTGTCCTAAAATCAGGAATAGTATTTGTGAGTTTCAGTAGGCAGAGTCGGATAGGCTGCACCTGAGACAGGGTGGGAAACTAATAGTATTCATAGAGTGGCAATACTGGTTGAGCACTTTGTGTGCATACTGTTACTTATTTCTCAGAATAGCCCTCTAAGATAGGTTTTATCATCACATTTTACTGATGAGAAAACTGAGGTGCAGAGAGGTTCAGTAATTCTCCAGAATTATTTGATATGTAGCATCAGAGCTGAGATTTGAATCCGGTACTGTCTGATTCCAAGCGCAGTTCCTTTAGTGTTTCAATCCCTATTCTCATTCTTTCTCTTCTAGGCTAGTTCTGTGGCCAGTTGGATCAGAGTTGTCTCTTGGATATGCTCCTTTTCTGACAGCCTGTGTCACCCATTGGGGCTCCCTGAAGTAGCCAAAAGTTCAGAAGGAAAAGTAGACTGAATATCCAATCCCTTCCCCTTGCACGATCCTTGGAATGTATCTGCTTTCCAGCTATGTACACAAATATTGAGGGATCAGCCATTCTTCAGTTAACATCCAAGGTCGACATTACTTACTTAATTCTATAGTAAGATTCAGTCAGTTGCTAGAAAGAGAAATCCATCTTAAATGTCTTAAGGAATAAAGCAAATGTATTGGCCTCCTAAAAAGTCCCATGGGTAGCATCAATTTCAGCAACGGTGGAATACAGGTGCTAAAATGATGGCACTAGGAATATGTCTCTCTTTATCATGTCTCTATTTTCTTTCATGTCACCAAACTCTCCCCATCAGGTAGCAACTTGGTTACAATTAGCTACACTTACCTCACCTGAGCAATCCTAGAAGAAAGAGGCCGTTTCTTTTCTATCATTTCCAGGAAAACTCAGGAACTGAGTATCACTGGTCTGGCTAGGGCCAGTGCCCATCCTGAACTCAAAAACTGGCCAGGAAAATGGAACAATTTGATTAACTAGATATAGAACAGAATGGGGTCAGCCCCACTGGAACAACATGGATGAAAGGTTGGGGAAAGGCATTTTTAAAGGCAAATTAGAGTGTTATATCTTCAGTAATGGCAAGTAGATACTGGACATCCAACAAAAATAATGCAAAACAATACAAAACATCCAGCCAAAACAATAGATAGCCACCAAACCAACTGTGTGATATAGGGTAACTTGCATATGCTCTGTGTCTATCAGTTTGCTCATCCATAAAACAAATGTACAGTGTATCTCACAACATTAGTTAAGGATCCAATGATACCAAGTTTGAAATTGCTTAGCACAATTGCTGATGCTTTGTAAGTCCTCCAAATAGCATTTTATTATTTTGCGTTATAATGCCCCAGGCCTCATGAATCTTCTTACACCTTCCTATATGCAACTTGATTGCCTTACTTTCCTTATGCCTCCGGATCCTTATTTGAATGCCCCAGAATTTCTCAGACAATTTTGATGATTTTTGATGGCTACAGGGTCCATGGGAAGCTGGAACTTTCAGAAAGATTGCTACAAAAGCTGTTGGCAGCCATCATTTTTCAACGAGGGCTGCATGTGTATGATTTTTGTGGACACTGTATGAGGCAGAGGTACACATCTCATTATCCTGTTAATTCTCTCACATGTTGCTATTTTGCCATAATCTCCTTTCCCCAAAGACAAGGAGGAAGAGGGAGACAACAGTAACACACATAACAGATTGTGCTTTGATATACATGAAAGATCTGGGGCGGGGAATAGCATCTTCTGTAGAAAACACTCCATAAAATTTGGCCCCGGTAGCAATTAACTGGTTGAGGACTATCTTTTGGAAGAAGTCATATTAAATAAGCTGTGGAGATAAGCTTCTGGGGACAGCCTCTTTTTTCCCTCTCTTCAAATCCGTTCTGTAAATATTTCAGGAAAAGTCCTGAAAGCTGCCTCCCTGGTGGTGGATAGCATTGTTTTAGAAAACACAGTTTATAAGCAGTGTTCTCTGGAATGCTTAAAAAAAAGTCAGCCAACTTTCCACTGATGGAACATGAAAATGGCACAGAAAACAAAGGAACTCCTGGGAGCAGGTGACCATGACACAGAGGATTCAGTTTTCTCATTTTGTCTTTGACATGTTCTTTGTCTGAATGTAGACTTTTGTCCATTTCAGAAGGGAAGTGCCTGGCAATTAACATTCACTCATTAAAACAGGATTTGTTCTAGAGTCAGGAGATAGATCCATGAAAAAATTGACAAGGTTGTTGCTCTCAAAATCCGATATTCTAGTCAGGGAGTCAGAAAATCAACAAATAATGAAGCAAGAAAAATACTGGAGAATAAATGTAAGCCAAAGAGTTGAACCAGGTTTAGGTGACAGAGCGTGCACATGGCAATGCTGGACCAGGTGTTTGCAGCAGGTGAGTTGATGCGCTGCTAGATCCTATTTACAAGCCAGTACACACATCTTCCAGCTGTGGAGGGTAATTCTGTGGCCAGTGGCCTAAACCTGCAACCTTTTCCTGAGAATTGTACTTGGCTGGTAGGAGATCCCCGTGAGGCAGCCAATGACTGACTGATTGATTCCATGGTACAAAAGCCTGGCTCCTTACCTCAAGGCAGGCCACCTATGAGCAATGATTTATGCGCCAGATCTTTCCCCCACTACAACCCATAGATCAGTCCAAGGCTAGACATTACCTAAGACCACACCTAAGACTGTGTCCTTGTTCTCTTTTTCTCTTCTCCTCTGTGCTTCCCTCACTCCATCGCAGGCTTCCCCTGAGCGTACCTTTAAATAAACCATGTGCTCCCAAACCCCTCTCTTAGGCTCTGTTTCTAGGAAACTCAACCGAGACGGTAAACAAGGAAGGCCTCTTTTGAGTTATTATATTTAAACTGGGAAATGAGTGATGAAAAGGATCCAGGAATGCAAACACTTAGGGAAACAAATTTGGCATGCTTAAAGAACCAAGAGAGAATCTTGGGTGGAGGGCACTAGAAAGGGAGAAGTGGAAGAAGAGGGGGTTGGAGAGTTCTAAGAGCTGAGCCTAGATCTTATAAGATAAG